CTCCTGCGTGGGGGTGGTGACGTCGATATTTTCAGCCATGACGAAGGGCGTCGGCTCGTCTTAGTCTAGGCGCAGTCGTGGCTGCACGCGTTTTCGAGAGAACGCGAGGACAGTGGCTCCTAGGGGCTAAGGTGCGTGAGTCCCTTCGAGTGAAAAATCAAAAGTTGATTTCCTGGTGTGCGGAGATGCGCGGTCCGAAAGAAAGGGGCTCTGATACCAAGTGTTACGGGTGCAATGAATCGAGGTAGCGAGAATTGCAATAAGGTGTCAAACGAGTACAAAATGTGAGCGAAGGCATGAGCGAACATTTATACGCGAAACATGCAAAACGGTAACGCGGTGCGTGCGAGCTTGCTAGTGCTACGCTGGAGCGAGGCTCGGGTTAGTCCTGAAGCGTAGGCCGATACGGCCATGCCAACAGTGCGAGGTTTGGCAAAACAGTGCGCGCGAAGTCGGCGAAGTTCCGTTAGCAGTAACGGGCGAACAATCGGCTGTTGGTGTACGCGATGTAGTCGGCTCCGTAAGGAATGCCGAGAAAATTCCTTACAGCCACCCTCTGGAAACCCGTTCTTCCAAACTACGCAATCTTTCATGCAATGAACTGTACATAACTGTGTATGAAGCGTGACCTAGAAAACCGAAGGTAATTCCCGAATCAGGGCCTAATTTACGTTTCGGGCTACACCCTGTTTCTCAACTTTCTGACAATTGGGAGCCCGGGCTACAATTTTTTTTTTTTTTTTTTTGATATCATATACATTACAGGAATGTACAGACATCGGCAGTCGTAACTGGCATGGGGAGGGGAGCGCCACAATAGCAGATATTGCAGTTCCCCTCTAACGCGACTACGGCGGTTGGTGAGTCATGCTGGGGTTATCCCAGATTGAACTGAAGCTGATCCTCCACGACAGCGGTGCACCGCTGCTGCAGATACGACGCATCACCGTCGCCTCATCGGCCGCCAGGTGTGCCCAGTCATCCCCCAAAACCTGCTTGTCCTTCCGTGCTGCCACCTCGCGCGCCAAGCAGTACGTTCTCGCATGCGCGACAAAGTTGATCACCACCAGCCGAGCCACCCTCCCAGCATGGAATGCCTCATTTCTCCACGCCGCGTTGCACCTTGCCAACCATATTTGCTGCAGACCTGTTGCAATCCACGCCCCTTCCGGAAAACCCGACTTCGTGCTTCTTTGCATGAAGATCAGGTCTTCGAGATCTTGCCACGCTATCCCCGGGTTCATTGCCACCAGCCCTCTCCTCAGCAGGTCCACCACCGGCTGCACTGTAGGACATCCCAGGAGGCAGTGGTCTGGGGTTTCCTCGCCACGACAGTGCGGGCAGACCACGCCCATGAAGAAAAGTCTCGAGCCCACTTGCAGGTTTCTACAGTGGAGCCTTAGAAGGACCTCGCGTGCCCGCCGTGGAGTGGCGAGAGAATCCCTTTGTGTGATGACTCTGTCCCATTCAATTGCCCTCCTCTGCCCTTCCCATCTCCTTTGGTTCTCCTGTCTGCCAGAAGAGCTTGACAGTAATTTCCGTAACCCTTTTGTTGAGATCAGCTCTCCGCCCTCACATGCCTCTGATAGCAACAGTCTCGTATGCGCGTCACCCATGGCCCCCAGAAATACACAACCCTCCGTGAACATCGGTACACCGCTGCGTAGACCGAAATCCAACGTAAGGCACCTCTCGTAAGGTGCGAACCTTCTGCCATCCTCAACGGTGCATAGCCTCCCCGTCACTTTATCCCCCTTCGCCTCCTCGATCTGCCAGTAGGTGAAGTTTCTAGTCGCGCCATCACCCGACCGTAGCAGCTTCACCTTGGCCACAATCTCCTCGCCTGTCAGTTTTGTTAATACCATCTCCTTCTAGCGCGCCGGTGTCGCTTTAAAAGCTCTCAGCGCCCATTTCGCTTTGTCTCTGTTCCCCATCTCCCTCGTCAGCTCCGCTAACCCTTTGAGTACGCACGTTCCGTCGCCTGCCTTCTTAATCAGGTCACCCACGCGGATGCCCAGCAGCACCAAAGCCCCCTTCTGGTTCCCGAAAGGGCTTGCACCACTGTAGGGGATATTTGGATTGAAAGCCAGATGCTCCTGCTCCACCTCCCAGCGGTTTGTCGGTGTTCGCGGTTTGCACAGCGGCGAGCCCCAGAATTTCTCAGTCAGCTCCTTCCATCGTGCGCTTCCTTTCACCCAGTGATCCAGCACGGACTTGTGCGCGAAGACGGTGTCCAGTCCCAGGGGGAATTCCACAGCCTTCACCGCCAACCATTTTTTGACAGAGTCCGGCATCAGCACCAGTCGGCAGACGTTCCGGATAGCGATGCTGTTGACTCTCAGCTCCGGGCAAATCAGCCCCAGCCCCCCGTCCTCCCGAGGCGTGCATGCCAGCTTGTAGTTCCAGAGTATGAAACAATGCGAACGTGCGCTTAGATTTTGCGGGCTGGTGCTTGCAGCCGAACCCCAGGTAGGTGGCGGGCAAATGCAGTCCATTTGAACGATACAAAACGTTTTATGACAGAACATTGCTATCACGTACGGTTGAGTGCGGCAAGTTGTGCTTATATGCAATGTTCTGGGACCGTTTTGGACGCGTTGATGTCAGAATTGGCGGCATGTCAATACATCGTTTGTCAGTGTGGCGCGAAACAGGGTGTACCATTGGGCGATTTAGGGTGCTACAGATAAGGACGTGGGCCCAATTGAGTTTGATCGCGACTGATCTGATCTGGCTGGATCTGATCGGGTTGCTTGTGATCGCAGTGCCCGAGCCGCCCGATCAGTAATGTTTTTTTTTTTTTAAGAAGGTCGTCAGCGCCTGCTCAGCAAGCGCGATACATCTGCCTGGCATTTTCGTCCCCATTCTAGCGAGATTGGCGACCAGACGTCACCTGGCGATTATCTTCATTTCCCTGTAAATGAAACGGTGTAACTAGTCGCAAGCATCGCTGGGGGGCCCGATCACAAGCAATCAGGTGATCGCCTGTGATCGAGGGAAATCGGCTCTGATCGGGATGAGAATTGGGCCTGATTGAGTTGAAGCGATCAGCTGATTGCCCCCGATTGCCTGAAATCGGCTTCCAGGCTTCCTGGAAGTTCTTGATTGAGTGTGATAGAGGCGATCAAACTCGATTGGGCCCACGTCCTAACAACCTGTATGTGTTGAAAGGTGCTTGCAACTTCAATATCTTCAGACTGAACATTGAACATAAGGGCGCTTCACCTGTCGGTTCGAACAACACACACGTTCGAACAGGCGAAACGTTACTCGTTTCGCCTATGTTCGTAGTAGTTTTCGTGACGTCGCGAAGCACAATTTCGCCAATCTGAACAGAGCTGTCACCTCAAGCACGATTTTCATCATCCAGCACGTTCGAACACGTTTGTTGGAACAGGTTGGGATAGGTGACACACAATTCCGCACAAACGACTGATATGATTGGTCCACAGTCTTCCGGGTCGCCCATGAACGTTTACGACCCGGCCAGACGTCGCCAATGTTTGGGACCCAATGTTTGGCGACGTCGCTCTTTTGTGGGCGACGTCGCTGTGTTCGAACAGACCGCGTGTGCGAATAGCGATGGCGTCACCTGTGATGGCCTGTGTCACATTCGCTCATTGTACGTATTTGTGTTCGAACTCATTTGGGATACTGTTCGTACATTCAAACTGATACGTCGGTTCGGATTTTGGCCTCCGCCCCTCAGGTGAAGCGCCCTAAAATGTGCCGCTCTAATTAAGCTTTACTGTAGTCGCACCGTGTTTGGCTAACCCACAGACACAGGCCGTAAAGGCAGGTTATTCACACCGAAACTGTGCAAGGGAGAAATTTACAGTTGGCCCACCCCCCACCACCACCCACCACACACGCGTTCAAGTTCGGCACGCGTGCTCATCTCGTGAATCTGTTTCATCATTTCCACATGAACGACAGACGAGAGTGCTCCGGCTTTTCCTTATTTCACGCTCGTGTGTCCCGACGGCAACACTGAAGTTTGACGGGAGGTGGTTCCGTCAAGGGAACGTGTTTAATGGGGTTATTTTCACAGAATGTCATTTTGCCTGTAGTTTCAGTGGCCATGGGCGGTAGTGAGAGACACACTTCTAGAGCCCAAGTACATGCGATAGAATTTATTCAGACTGACCCTTAGAGAACCCCAGTTTGTGTGGCAAAGCTTCGTATTTCCACATCATTCCTTCCTAATCGGACACACTCGCAGAAGTATGGGGAACCGTCTGGATGGTTCCTGGGACAAACTTAAATCAGCCACTCCCACCAGGGAAATTGGAGGTTGTGTTGAGTTGAGTGACCCCTCGCCAGCCACTTGCTGCGCCTCTTCCCTTCATCCCAGCCACATAGAGCAGCAGAATGCTGCACGCGCAATGAAGGCACGCGACAGCGCACCACGCTTTTCATTGCAGCAGTTGGGCAGAGAGAGTTGTGTCTCACTGATTGCCATCAGATTAGAACAGCCTGAGATGGCATGTGAGCTATTCAACCTGCATGAACCCTACCTACATTCGAGACCTTGTTGCTGCAGCACCTCCACCGCCCTAATCTCTGCAATTCACACTCTTCCAGCTTCCAAACACTGGCGTCGTCACACTTGCGAACCTCCTCGTCACGCAACCATGTTTGCCTTCCAAATCTGAATTCTTATCCCAAGCTTGTGCAGTCGGAATCCGTGATTTGCATTGCCCTTCCCCGAGTCCAAGAGTGGCAGCTGCTCCGCGTCCTCCATGGATCAAGTCATCACCGCCTCTCGGACATCCCTCACTCCCTGCGACCGCGGGATTTTGGATGTTTCGCCGTCCGCGCGTGCCTCGGCGCGGAGTCACTCCCGGGAAGCGTCGGATGACCGTAGGGTGTCGAAACGGCCGCGCACGGACAGCGAGCGGGATGACAGCGGCAGCTGTGCCGGGGATTTCCTTTCAACCCATCTGGTTCCCGCTAACCATCAGGCTTTACTAGGGCGGAGTGAGTCTGCGGGTAGTAGCATGGATTCGCAACGCAGCAGCGTGAGGGTCGGCGTTAGAACGGGCGACAACGAGCGATTAAGGTGCTCCAGCGAGCCTGCGACTCCGGACGGCGCGCGGCAACGAGAAGCGGTGCAGGCAGCGAGTCAGTCGGAGGGTGAACAGGCCGTGGGAGGCGCGGAGGCAGCGGCAGTCGTCAAGGGGTATGCGACAACACCGCGCGGCCAGGTTCACTACCGCAGGTACGCCACTCTCGCGAGATAACTGACGTTTGCAAAATATTTCTGTCCCCTATTAGAGCGTGGGTCTCATACCATCGTGTCGGCGGTTCGTGCCTGTGATCCGTGCAGGTGCGGGTCGGGCCATCCGGTGGTGCTGTTGCACGACGCTGGACGTTCGTCTGCCATGTGGGCGCCTGTGCTGCCGCTGCTGGCGGCGCGCGGGTGTTGCGCGCTGGCCGTGGATCTGCCGGGGTGCGGCGAGACGACGGCGGCTTGTCGCGACTACAGCATGCTGGAGATGGGCGCCATCGCCGTCGCCGCCGCCATCAACGTCGGCTTCACTCAACGCTTCGACCTTGTGGGTGCTCTCTCATCGCACGATTCCCTGCTCCCTGCTCCCTGCAGCACATCTGCTCGTCATTCGCTGTTTTTTTGTTTTGTTTTTTTCTTGTTCTTGTTTTTTTTTTTTTCGACCATACAAAGTGCACCTGGCCTTAACATCGTCCGTTCGCCTCCTCACCCAGTCCCCCATCTTTTGTCCTTCCCGCGCGCCATCCATGCCTCGCAATCCCCCGGCTCCTCTCCATGCTGCAGGTGGGCCATGGATTCGGAGCGAGCTTGGCGCTGCAGATGGCGGCCGTGTTCCCCGCGAGGGTGAGGCGGGTGGGGCTGTGGGGCGTCATGCCGCAGGACGAGCGCTCCAAGCACCTCGCTGCTGCCGTGCAGGCAATAAGCGCGGGGGGTGGGGATGGCGATGGTGCAGTGGCTGCTGCTCCTCAGAGCGTGGTGGCGGTGGCAGTGCAGCAGATGCTGATGCGCAGTACAGCCCACCATGTGCCTCTTCATCAACTCGTTAGTCCCCTCCCCTCGCCTATAAACGACCCGAAACATTTTCTGCACAACCTTTTTCCTGCTCTTTTTCTTGCGTCGCCTGATTGTGTGCTCATGTGTTGTCATGCATTTTTTTGTTCTCCCATGACCTCTCCACCCCTCAGGTTCAAGAGGTGATGGAGTGCCTTCAGTCACTGCCCACGCGCCACTTGCTCGCCAAGGCGCATGCAGCAGTGGACCACGGGGATCTGCTGGACAAGGTGCAACAGCCCGTGCTGTGCCTGGCGGGCTGTGACGACCCATTCCAGTTTGAGACAATGATGGCAGCGTCAAGGATGGGCAAGGGAAAGTACTACCACATAAATTCAGCCGGCAATGAGGTGCTTCAGACTCATTCGGAGCAATATGTCCAAACGCTGATGGAGTTCTTAGGGTCACAAAGACTATTAGATTGTGTACAGTAGGCTAGGTCTAGCATGTAAGGTGAATGCAGTATGTGCAATTTCTTGCCAGCTGTATATCGAGTATCTTCATCTACAAACTGTGTTTATGTTTACATGCGTTCCTTTTACCGAGTATTATGTCTTCACAAGCTTCACGCACCCGCTCCTTTCGGCATCGATTGCTCAGACACGTGCACATTGAACTGGTATCTCTGTCACATGGAGCCACGCGGCAAGCCTCAGTTGCTGCCATACAGGCAGCGACAGCGTGGCACTGACACGTCAGCTTTTGAATGAACGAGTTCCTGAATCCGACCATGTGGGCAAGCAGGACATGCCTGCCTCGGTTCCTTCGTCACATTTCGTTCATTCGCACCCAAGCCGAGAGTAATGCACCAGCACAATTTCATCCATATCTGGAGCCATTCTTGGTTTTCCCGACATTCCGTTCGCTCCATTCAAGATCTCCGTTCCTCACTCCTCAGGTCAGTCGCCTCCCCTTCTTCGCCTCGCTCCGCTCACTTCATCCCTCGTTCAGCTATGGCTGCCGCCACCTTGTCCTCTGCCCTGCGACTGACCGGTGCCGCGTGTGCCGCGCGTATCTCGCGCTCCTCCGCCCTCCACACAGCCGCTGCCTCCTTCAAGCAGGGTACCCCAGCCGTCGGATTCTCCGGCGCTCGCCTCCGTGACGTCCGACGCTCTGCGACGCCTGCTCACGGTCAGACGACTCGGCGACACATGGCGACCGTTGCGACGATCAAGGTCGGCGACAAGCTGCCCGACGGCAGCCTCTCCTACTTCGACGCTGAGGGCGCGCTTCAGACCATCACTATCGAGTCACTCACCAAGGTGTGTATAACGCGGATACCGCATCCTCGGTGTTGGATTTATGTTGCGATGGAATTGAAATTGAACGGGCGCATGAGTGTCGCAGCTGCGTCGTCGAGTCACCTCGTCGTCGAGCCCACAATTCATCGGGAACTGTGGCAATGCTCCAACGCATGAGCATTAATGCGTGCACGAACGCAATGGCTGCTCAATCATCTCACTCGCGTCCATCGCGTCACGCGTCACTCCAACCTTTGCGAACCACAATCCGCCCTCGTCGTTCCCCCCCATCCGCGTTGAATTCCCGCCCCACTTCCTTCTTTGCACCCACCCTCACACCCCTTTCCCCAATTTCCCGCTCCCCCTTCCCCTCCCCCTTCCCCTCCCCCCTCCGCGCAGGGCAAGAAGGTGGTGCTGTTCGCGGTGCCGGGCGCGTTCACGCCGACGTGTTCGCAGAAGCACCTGCCGGGGTTCATCGCCAAGGCGGACGAGCTGCGCGCCAAGGGCGTCGACACCATCGCCTGCGTCTCCGTCAACGACCCCTTCGTCATGCGCGCCTGGGGCGAATCCGTCAACGCCGCCGGCAAGGTGCTGCTGCTCGCGGACGGCAGCGGCGTGTACACGGCGGCGCTGGGCGCGAGCCTGGATCTGGCGGACAAGGGGCTGGGCGTGCGGTCGCGGCGGTACGCGCTCCTGGCGGACGACGGCGCCGTGACCGTGCTCAACCTGGAGGAGGGCGGCGCGTTCACCAACAGCAGCGCCGAAGACATTCTCAAGGCGCTGTGAGACGCGCTCACCAATGCTGCAGCGGCTGGTGCGGGGAGAGGCGATGCGCGGAGGGAGGGACTAGCTGGTTGGAGTCACAGGGGTAGCATCCTGTCTAAATCTGTGTAAATTTTGACCATCCTTTTAATGTTTTGTTAGCCTTCACATCAGATACATGACACAAGTATTGCACACCCTGTCTAGTGTGGCTCAATAGCCTGCCTCTCCTCCCATGAAAATGAATCCTCCACTCCTGTCAGCCACTGCCTTACTCTGCTCCACTGTCCCTGCCCACTTGACAACTCTGCTCTCACATGCCAAACGCATTGCGGCTCGACTCAACAGCACTAGCTCATAACGAGCAGCAAGTCCATCCCATGAGATGCTTGAACAGCAAATGTGTACCAAATTATTTGACAGGAACATGCACCAATCAACGACAGCATGATACACGAGGCCATGGCAGGGTTGTTAGTTTTCACAGGTGTGCAGGAGGCGGCCCACAAGGTGCCTGAGAATGTACTTCTTCATCATACGATACCGAAGAATCACCTCCCACTCGCCCAGTTCCCTCACATACTCCGCACCGCACTGCACCGCATCCGCACCCTCCCCATCACCCGTATCACCCCGCTCACCGCCCTCCACCGCACCGAACAGCACCCGCGCCTTGCACACATTGACCTGGCGCCACAGGTGCAGGTCCTCCCCCAGGGTGGTGGGGAACTCCTTGAGCAGCTGCTGCCCTCGCTCCACCAGCACGTTGCCAGCTGGCGGCACCGCGTCCGACACGTCATCGTCCACGAGGCGCGCCAGGTCATCGCAGGTGGTCTTGGGGTCCTTCATCCACCCGTACAGCAGCGACACCTGTGCCACCTGGCTCAGATCCGGCTCTGCTCCCATGGAACAGGAAAAGTGGGAGGAGGGACAGAGAAATGATAGAACAGAATGTTGTTTTGAAAGTTGATTGCGGTTCACCTGACTGATATGAGCAGGCAAGACAAGAGCAAGGGACTTGGCATGCAGGCAGAGGGGTGTTCGAGGGAAGGCAGATCAGCCAATGAGAAAGAGGAGGGAGGAATGCGTGGGAGGATAGAGGGGGGAAGGGCAGGGAGATTCGGTTTGACGTTAGGTTGGAGATTCGGTTTGACGTCAGGTTGGAGATTCGGTTTGACGTCAGGTTGGAGATCAGGTTTGACGTCAGGTTGGAGATCAGGTTTGATGTCAGGTTGGAGATCAGGTTTGACGTCAGGTTGGAGATCAGGTTTGACGTCAGGTTAGAGATCAGGACTGACGTAAGGTTGGAGATCAGATTTGACGTCAGGTTGGAGATCCGGTTTGACGTCAGGTTGGAGATCAGGTTTGACGTCAGGTTGGAGATCAGGTTTGACGTCAGGTTGGAGATCAGGTTTGACGTCAGGTTGGAGATCAGGTTTGACGTCAGGTTGGAGATCAGGTTTGACGTCAGGTTGGAGATCAGGTTTGACGTCAGGTTGGAGATCAGGTCTGACGTCAGGTTGGAGATCGGGTTTGACGTCAGGTTGGAGATCAGGTTTGACGTCAGGTTGGAGATCAGGTTTGACGTCAGGTTGGAGACCGGGTTTGACGTCAGGCTGGAAATCAGGTTTGACGTCAGGTTGGAGATCAGGTTTGACGTCAGGTTGGAGATCAGGTTTGACGTCAGGTTGGAGATCAGGTTTGACGTCAGGTTGGAGATCAGGTTTGACGTCAGGTTGGAGATCAGGTTTGACGTCAGGTTGGAGATCAGGTTTGACGTCAGGTTGGAGATCAGGTTTGACGTCAGGTTGGAGATCAGGTTTGACGTCAGGTTGAAGATCAGGTCTGACGTCAGGTTGGAGATCGGGTTTGACGTCAGGTTGGAGATCAGGTTTGACGTCAGGTTGGAGATCAGGTTTGACGTCAGGTTGGAGACCGGGTTTGACGTCAGGCTGGAAATCAGGTTTGACGTCAGGTTGGAGATCAGGTTTGACGTCAGGTTGGAGATCAGGTTTGACGTCAGGTTGGAGATCCGGTTTGACGTCAGGTTGGAGATCACGTTTGACGTCAGGTTGGAGATCAGGTTTGACGTCAGGTTGGAGATTAGGTTTGACGTCAGGCTGGAAATTAGGTTTGACAAGGCCATGCAGCGCCGTGAAGATGCCCAGCAGGCAGAAGAGAGGGAGAGAGGGCATGGAGGGCAGGGAGGGGCATGGAGGGCAGAGAAGGCAGGGAGGGCAGGGAGGGGCATGGAGGGCAGGGAGGGGCATGGAGGGAATGGAAGGCAGGGAGAGCACGCACTGCGGTTGTTGACGACGAGGGCGTGCAGCGCAGTGAAGATGCCCAGCAGGCGCGGGTCAAACCGCCCGCCGAACCACGCGGACAGGGGGCTGCCGGGTGCCATGCGGTACTCATAGCGCTGCGCCACACCCTCGTACTGCGGTGCTGCCGCCTGCTTCTGCAGCTCTGCCTCCACGCGCTCAAACGTGCCCTGCAGGGGCGTCTGTGGGACGCGTGGGGAGAGATACGCTTGGGAATTGAGTTTGTGAAACGAGTGGTGCTCAGGAGAGCAGCATGGAATGAAGGTCAAGCCGGTCCGCCTTGGCAGACCTCTCAAGGCAGGGGTGCAGCTGGTGCAGTGGATGCAATGAGTGCACACGAGTCAAAGCTGGCAGCACCATCCATCTTCCACGAGTGAGTCTTTCTGCCCTCACAGCAGCACCACGCGCCCACCTCCACACATGCAACAACCCACACAAGCAGCAGCCCCCTTCCCCCCACCGCCGTCTACTCACCCGCTCCAGCGTGTGGCCATAGCCGCGCAGGAACTTGTCGACGTGGAAGCGAAGGGCGTCCTGCGGCGAGGAGAAGAGGTGCACGTGGTCGCGGTAGTTGCCGCCCAGCACCATGCCGCGCATCACCAGCGCCTCGTCGTTGCTCAGCTCCCCGTAGTGCACCGCCACGTGCTGCCCCGCTGGTATGTCCGTTAACGCTGTGAACTCTATGCTGCTGCCCGTGTCCTGGTGGGGTTAAAGAGGTTGGGAGAGAGGGGAAGAGGGGGTGGAGAGGGAGGCGTGAGGTGTGGCTGCACGAATGCCCTCAAGACTGGATGGCTGCCACGTGGCAAAATACTGACCTGCCAGATGGCGATGGGTACGTCATCAGTGTCAAAGAGGTCCCCATACGGCACCAGCGATATGTCCGCCTCCTGCCGCTCCTCCTCGCCCTGCCCCTCCCCCTCCTTCCCCTTGTCCTCTCGCTCTGCTGCTTCAGCAGGCCTCAACGCAAACATGCGGGAAGTGACGATCCCTGCCGCCCAGAAGAATTCCTCCTGGGTGGCGTTGGCGATGGCCTCTGGGCGGCACTTGTTGTACTCTTGCAGGAGCGCCTTCTTGTGCTCCGTGACCTGTGCGCAGCACGGGAGAGGGAAAGAGGAGATGGCATGGGATGGGAGACAGGGCAGGGGAGGCAGAGCAGGGGAAGATCTAGAGGTACCTCGGCAGCGCAGGATGTGAGGTTGATTGTGGCATGTGCATTGGAGCAGCAGGAGGACCCCCCTCTCACACCAATACAGCCATACTCCTATCCCGGGCTGGTGCTCACGCGCTGGTGCTCACTTGCGCACTAGCGCTGTCATGCACTCGCGCTGCCGCACGTGCTGCTGCTCATGTGCCGGTGCTCATGTGCCGGTGCTCACTGACTGGAGGTCACTGACCGGAGGTCACTGACCGGAGGTCACTGACCGGAGGTCACTGACCGGAGGTCACTGACCGGAGGTCACTGACCGGAGGTCACTGACTGGAGGTCACTGACTGGAGGTCACTGACTGGAGCTCACTGACTGGAGGTCACTGACGGGAGGTCACTGACCGGAGGTCACTGACCGGAGGTCACTGACCGGAGGTCACTGACCGGAGGTCACTGACTGGAGCTCACTGACTGGAGCTCACTGACCGGAGCTCACTGATCGGAGCTCACTGACCGGAGGTCACTGACCGGAGGTCACTGACCGGAGGTCACTGACCGGAGGTCACTGACCGGAGGTCACTGACCGGAGGTCACTGACTGGAGGTCACTGACTGGAGGTCACTGACTGGAGGTCACTGACTGGAGGTCACTGACTGGAGGTCACTGACTGGAGCTCACATTCACAGCCATCCACATTCCCCCACGCTGTCACACAGCCATCCAGCCCCTCACTGCCCCGCCCTCACCTCAGCCAGCATGACGTCATACTGCAGCTCGGGCACCAGCTCATCGCGGAAGAGGTGGGGGAAGGGCAGGTGGGCGGGCAGCAGGCGCACGAACGGCGCCCACAGGGACGCGCGCCCCTTGCCCCGCTCCCTCAGCACCCACGCCGCCAGCGCCGTGAATGGATGCACCTGTGGGGGGGGGGGGGGAAAGAGGGTGGTATGGTACTACGGTGAAGGGCGCATGCATGTGTCGGGTATGCGGATAGGGGTGCAGACAGGGATGGGATCAAGAGTTGCGGGGGAAAGAAGCTACTGTGATGGGTCACCAAGGAGGCTGTCAGACACGAGGCTGCTCGGTCCCGCACTCCTCAGCCTCTCACCTCTCCCTCATACATTCGGTTGGTCACCACAGAGGCTGTCAGACACGAGGCTGCTCGCCCAACACCGTGAGAAAAAGGCCTCTCACCTCCCCCTCGTACGGCTTTGCCTCCTCCTGCGCTTGAAGGGCCGAGATGGCGAGCGAGCGAGGCAGCGACAGAAACACCTCGCCCTCCGCGATGGGACGCCGCGCCACCATGCCCAGATTCGCCCTGACAGTGGGGCGGGGGGGAAGGAAGGGGAAAGAGGGAGGAGCGGGAAGAAGGGGGAGGAGGGGGCGGAGGGGAAAACGGGAAGATGGTGAGATGAGATGAGATGAGATGAGATGAGATGAGATGAGATGAGATGAGATGAGATGAGATGAGATGAGATGAGATGAGATGAGATGAGATGAGATGAGATGAGATGAGATGAGATGAGATGAGATGAGATGAGATGAGATGAGATGAGGCAGCATGTGCCCATTCCCCGTGGCGGTGCCCGCGAGGGGAGGACGGATGGGAGAGGAGGGAACTGATTTGGGAACAAGTGGCCGGCTGACATGTGATGCAGAGGACGGCAATGCGCAGCATGGGGAAACAGGATGACACGCCAGGCGTTAACTGGAAATCCACGACTGCAACCAGCCGCCTTTCCCGCCTTTGAATCAACGCTTGCTTGTTTGGTCTGTGTGTTTCTCCCACTCGCTCACCTTGACGTGCGTTGACTGGCGTTGACTCACCTTGACCTGCCGGACGCCTTGAGAGTAGTGTTGGCGTCTATAAATACCTGCACGCGTGCAGCAAGGCCGGCAAGGGTAAGGGCGGCAGGGGAGAAGAGAGCAGAAATGTTCATGAGTTGTGGCGAGTGGAAGGCGCGAAGAGGGTGTGGCAGGAAATCGGCACGCTTGCAAGCAGCAGAGGTGGAATGAGCACACGCCCCTCTCCAGTACCTCACTGCACCACCTCTTCCCAGCCTCCACCACTCCACACATCCGCTCATCGCGTTCATGAGAATTCATCATTCTCTCCAGATTACCAAATTTCTGAGTCAGGGCAATCACCCACACAGCCCCCATCGCCTCACCTCCACAGCAGCCTCCTCCCCTCGGATCCCAGTCACGCCTCTCTCCTCCAGCCACGTCAGCAGCTCGTCCACCAATCGCTCCTCCTCCTCGACTCCCGCCAGTTCCGGATCAAACTTCGCCTGCCCCGCCGCGTCAGTCGCCGCATTGGTCGCCGCATCTGTCGCCGCATTCGCCGCCGGGAGATCATCAGTAGACACAAACACATCCGCTATCCCTAATCCCATTCCCGCGTCCGCCATGCTGCCATCCGCGGCGGCTGCTGCTGCGGCGGCGGCGGCAATGCTCGAGCGCGAGGCGTCATTTGCATCGCTGCCGTCGGATGGATGCGACGCGGAAGCTGCGGAGGAGGCGAGGAGGGCGACGAGCAATATCAGGCGCACGCGGCGCGACGACGAGCGCAGGATGGCGGAAGGAGGCGGCGATGCGCGATTGGCACGCGCCATGCGGCGCGGCGAGAGAAGGAGCAAAGGGCAAGGAGCGTGGAGCGCGAGGAGGGAGGGGGGAGCGAGGAACGAGGGAGAAGGCGACTCGGCGTCGGGAGAGTCCGTGGTATGCGGACAGAATGCTGCAGGACTGGCTGGATTCACTTCCTGGATCGACACTCGCGTGAATGCTGCTTCTGGAACGTTTGATCATTCCGTACGGCTATACAGATGATGCGTTACAAAATAATGACGAGTGAAGATTGATAATGCGATATACTATTATACCACTTATACAATAAGAGATGCTTAACAAAAATTCATCTCGAAGCGCCATGAGATTTTCCATGGCACGCGAATCTAATTCGTATATCTGCAATCCAGCAGGGCGCATAGTGGATCACCTCTGCAATCCAGGCTTTGCTGCTGCACTGCCTCTGCAGGGCACCACACCACAACATGCACCCTCGCAAACCATAGTGATGAGAATCACCTGCAGACAAACCAGCCATCATCGCATTGCCCCCCTCCACACTCTCAACCTCCCATCACAAGCCAGCCGCATGCAGCACCGTCTCCAACGCTCAGCCTCTTAACCCCCAGCCGGCCTGTGGGGAGGAGGAGGGTGCGGGGGGGGCTTGGAGAAGCGCACGTGCTATCAATCACGTGTGCAGGTAGTGCCGTGCCAAGCCCCGCACGTCGTATGAATGCACCGCACCGGGTGGGTGGGCGTGGCAGCGGGGGTCAGCCAGCCGGCGGGGAGGAGGAGGACGAGGGCAGGGGCGCATTGCCCTTGTTGCTGGTGGAGAAGCGCACGTGGTAGGTGCGCAAGTAGCGCTCTGCCAGGCGCCGCACGTCCCATTGATCACCTTCACCAGGTCAGCCAGCCGGTGGGGAGGAGGAGGAGGATGTGGGTGCGGTTCCCCCATTAGAAAAGCGCACGTGGTAGGTGCGCAGGTAGCGCTCTGCCAGGCGCCGCACGTCCTCGCCCTCCTTCACGAGGAAGGCGGCTGACCGCGCCCCCCCGTGCCGCTCCATCACCTTCCCCGCCGCCTTGCTCGCTACCCAGCGCCGCTGCTCTGCACTTATCACTCCGCTGCGCTCCAAGGGGCGCAGATGCTCGCGGATAAACACCTCCACCTGCTCACATGGGGAACAGGCAGGGTAATGCATCTCAGCTAGGCTCCACGTATGCTCTCTTCTCTCACTCGGGAAGGGGTGGGGGGAGGGCAGATGTGAGGCACGCATGTGGATGGCAGGACAAGGTGGCAGGCATGTGGATGGATGGCATGTGGATGGATGGCATGTTGATGGATGGCATGTGGATGGCAGGCATGTGGATGGCAGGCATGTGGATGGCAGGCATGTGGATGGCAGGCATGTGGATGGCAGGACAAGGTGGGCATGCAGTCATGAAGAAGAGCCGAGAGAGGGGTGGGGATTGAAGAAAGGAAACGAGGAAAGGGGTGGGGGAGCGTGGGGAAAGGGGTGATGGCGAGAAGGAGAAGGGGCAGGGATTTACCTGGTTTAAAACGGGGTCTTTCCTCCCGTGTCCCTGCTGGGCTGACTCAGCAGTGCTGCCAGCTGGCACGGCGGTGCTGCCAGCTGGCAGTGCGGCGCTGCTGCTCGGCCCGCCTCCCCCCTCGCCCACCACACCCCTTCCTGCCCCCTCACTGCCACTCCCACCCGCACCACCGGCAGCCGCAGAAACAGCAACAGCAGAAGCAGTGGCAGCAAGAGGAGGAGCAGACGTGTGAGCAGCTACTGTTCCCAATTGCCCCACAGGAAAGGCCTTCTCAGCACGCCCCTCGCTCCACTCACTGCCGAGGGTCCCACCTCCCCCACATACACCTGCACTGGCCCCACAGTCCCCATCCAGCACCTCCCCTGCATCGCCCTCCCCCCCTCCAGGGGCTGGCACTGCCTCCACCATCGCTGCCCCACTCGCCCCGCCCCCCACTTGCGTCCTCTCCCCCAGCCCCTCCTGTCCCCCCTGCCATGCGCCTTCCACCCGCCCCTGCTCGCCCTGCTCGCTCTTCTGACCACCATCGCCCACTGCTGCGCCGGTACTCTTGCCTGCTGCTCTCCGTATCTCTGCCCCCCCTCCTTGCTGCTCTCCCTGCACGCTGCCCTTAGCCCCTTCGCCCTTTCCTATACCCACTTTAGAATCACACTCCACATTGTCACGCCCCCTGCCTGTGTGCACGGCAGCAGCAGGTTGCGATGGCACCACAGGGCTCGCACTACTGCCTCCGTCCCCCTGCTTCCCCCCATCCCGTCCTGCATCCTCCCTCTCAGGAGATCCCGGAGGTGACGGCCCATCCAAGCCTGTGGCTCGGAGGGCCCGAGCCACCGATGCCCGAGCCAAGGCATCAGCTATGGAAATCGGCCTAGCCTCATCCACAAAGCTAGCTGCCGAACCTGCAGCTTTGGTTGGGGACGATGCAGCTCCGGCTGAAGAACCCACAGAAGCAACAACGGGAGCAGCGGCGAGAATGGAGGAGGGAGACGGAGAGTTGAGGTTGGTGGGAGCGGAAGCGAGGGCGCGGGTGGAGAGGGAGAGGTAGGCGCGCTTGTTGGGCGCCTGGGTGAAGAGCGTCCTCTCTGCTGCCACCCCCGCTGCTATCGCTGCCCACGTCTCGTTGTTGCGCCCGATGGCACTTGCTGGGACGGCCCTCAGATGGTGGTTCACCCACAGACTCACGTGCCTCTGCGGTGGTGGTGATCGTGATGGACGGAGGATGGGGGAACAAGTGAGGAAATGGGGGGAAGGTGGGGGAGAGAGGTGGTAAAGAGAGGGGAAGGCCGTTATGGCGTTAATGAATGGTGTGAAGGACAACGATGTGAACGCAAAGGGCACCAGCGACTAGGGTGAAGCAAGCACCAGCTATGCATTGGGCTGCACTGCAGCCTGGCGGATGGGCGCAGTGCACCTGGCGGAGGGGCATACCTGGCGGAGGGGCATACCTGGCGGAGGGGCATACCTGGCGGAGGGGCATACCTGGCGGAGGGGCATACCTGGCGGAGGGGCATACCTGGCGGAGGGGCATACCTGGCGGATGGGTGTGGGGACGCGGCTGTGCAGGTTGACTGGCACCTGTGGCCGCATGTCATCCGGCAGACGCAGCAACAGCTCAAACTCGCCTCCACTGCCACCCGCAGCACCACCAACAGCAACAGCACCGGCAGCTCCGCCATTACCCCTCCCACTGCCACTGCCGCCAGTAGCAGCAGTAACAGCAACAACGACAGCAGCAGCAGCATCACTACGTGCAGCAGGCACTGCCACCTTCCCTTCGCCTTGCTCCCTGTCACCTCCCCCCTCCCTCGCCCCCCGCCCACCGCCCCTCCCCCCCCCACCGCCTCTGCTCCCCCCTCGGCCCCCTCTGCCTCTGCCTCGCCCCCGCCTGCCCCCCACGCCCAGTCGCATCTCCCCCAGCGCCTTCAGGTCCGCCTCCCCCAGACCACGCCTCGCTAGCAGCTCCAGTGCCCGCCTCTCTGCCTCACTGTGCACTCTCCCACCCTCCTTTGCTGCTTCCTTTACACCCTCCACCGCTGCCCCCCCATCTTCTCTCACCCCCTCCCTCCCACTCGCATCAAGTGTGTCTTGTGAGAAAGCGACGCCCATCTTTATGTCCCCGCCACCACTTCCAACCGCACCGTTGCTCTCACCCTGGTCCCCACACACTTGCTTCTCCACACCTCCACCACCCATCCCACCGTCTCCTTCACATCCTGCCTGCTCCCGTTTCTCCCCACTGGCCCCACTTACCCCACCGGCCCCACTACCCCCACCGACCCCACTACCCCCACCAGCCCCACTACCCCCACCGGCCCCACTACCCCCACCGGCCCCACTACCCCCACCAGTCCCATCGTGACCTCCTCCTTGCCCCACTTGCACCTCCCCTCCCACACGCCTGCTTTTCCCTGACCCGTTACCTGCTCCTCCCGCATGCCCTGCACTCCCCTCTCCCTCCTCACCCCCACCCACCTTCCTCTTCACACCACGGGGCCCTGTAGCCCCGTCCCCACTTGCACCTCCCCGACTCACACCGTCCCCACTTCCATTGTCCCGACTCAATGCTGCAGCCACGAGAGCAGCAGCAGGCGTGGCACTGGCAGGGAAGGTACTACCAGGGGCAGCAACCGCAGGAGCGGCAGCAGGGAGGGCAAAAGCAGGAGAGGGAGGGGCACAGGCAACATCCTGTGGAAGACAGGAGGCTGCTGCTGCTGCTGTCGTGGCTGCTGCTGTGTCTTGTGCCACTTGTGCTGCCTCAAGGGATGGTGCAGCTGCTGCGTCACCTGATGCGGGACCTTCCCTTGGTGCTGCTGCTTCTGACTCGTGTGCTGCTGACGCATGCGAAGAAGCTGCCATGTTGCCATGAGACAAGAGCGCATGTGCTGCTGCTGCTGTGCCTGCAGTGGCAGCAGCAGCATCAGAGCTCGCACCTTTGGGTGCAGCGAGGGCAGGTGTAGAAGCAGCTGTACTTTGTGGCATCTCCCTGTCAGTGGCCACCATCATTCCCACCTCTCTTTCTCCCTTCCTCTCCTCCCTTCTCTCCTCCCCCTCTTCTTCCACCTCACCCTCACTCTTCTCACCCTCGCCCTCAAGTCCTCCTCTCTTTCCCTCACTATTTGCTCCGTCCTCCACTTCCCCTTCCCCTTCCCCTACCCCTTCCCCTTCCTCCCCTTGATCCTTTCCCGCTTTCTCCCCCTTCTCCTCTCCCTCCTCGCCCTGCTCCTTTGCTACGTCACCCTCTCCTTCCCTGGGAAGCATTGTGCCACACAGAGTTGGAGGGGCAGCAGGGGCACTGGCAGCACTACCATCAGTATTAGTAGCATCATCCCTGCTAACGTCGGCAGTGGCAGCAGCATCAATATCAGTACGACCAGAAGCAGCAGCACTAGTATTAGCAACACCAACAGCAGGTTCATCAGTGAAAGCACCATCAGCAGCAGCCGCATCAGCCAAGTCACCATCAGCACCCGTAGCAGGTGCGTCATCAGCAGAAGCCACAGCAGGAGGGGGTGGGGCAGGGAGAAAAGCAGAGGGAGCAGAGGAGGTGCCGGCCAGCAGCTGTCGAAATCGCACCTCCACCACGCCATCTCCTCCCCGTGACACCACCGGCTCCCACCGCCGCCACTTGCCCCCCTTCCACTCACTTGCAATCACGCTCGCACTCCCTCCCTCCTCTGCTCCCCCGAAAGCCTTTTCCCCGGCATTCTCCCCGCCTGATGCATCTCCTTCCCTGTCCCGCTCCCCCTCCTCCTCCCCCTGGTGCCCTCCAGCCTTCACCTCCCTGTCGCCCACGCCCCCTCCATCTCCCTTCCCCCCTTCCTCTCCTCCACTCTCTTCCCCCGCCTCCTCCCCCTCGCCAACACCCTTTCTCTTTCTCCCACTGCCTGCCACCAAGCCAATGCCCAACCGCGCACCTTCCACACCCTGCCTTCCCACTACCCCTGCCCCCTTCTGATCCTCCCCTTCTCCCGCCTCCCTCTCTTCCTCCTCCTCCTCCTCGCCCCCCTCCCCATCCCCCAAGGGGCGCGGAGCCACACTGGAATCCGCCAGCCATAGCACCCGCACCTCCCCCTCCCCCTCCCCCTCTCCCTCCCCCTTCCCCTTCCCACATCCGTCCCCCCTCTTCCTCCCCTTGCCTCTCCCCCGCGCGCCCCCCCTTCCCCTTGGCACGACCAGCTCTGCCAGGGTTCTGCTTCTCCCCCCACCGACGCCCGTGCCCTCCACACTCACTTCTGCACCAAACGCCAGGCTAGGCCTGCCGGCTGCTCGCTCTGCTATCGCCGCCCGCACTGCCAGCTGCTGCCCCAACGCCCCCGCTACCCCTCCTCCCTTGCCTCGCCGCCTGCCCTTGGCCACCCGCCCCACCAGCCTCTCTCTCACCGCGTCAAGCTTCACTGCCCCTCCCTTTCCCCCCCTTCCTCCCTTTCCTCCCCCTCCTGGCCCCTTGCCCCCGTCACCGCTTGCCGCTTGCCCAGTGCCCTCCTCGCCATCCCCAGAGCTGTTGCTGTGCATATCTTCCCCCACCCCCCGCCCATCCTCCCCCTCCCCTTGTCCAGCTTCCTCCTCCACCTCCTTGCCTCCCTTCCCCACTTCTCCCACACTTACCCCTCCCCCACCTGCCCCCGCTTCCCCCCCTGAGCCAGTGCGATCAGTGCCCCCTCGACCCCAGGTGCTGCAGCGGTCAGCACTCCTGCGGGCGTCAGAGCGCGCGCGGCGGCGTGTGTAGATGCGGCCGCTGCGCACAGGGGCGTGGTGGGGGGCAGGGGGCGCGAGCAGAGCTGCAGCAAGAGCAGCAGAGGCACGTGCTGACACCCCCCCTCCACCCTCACCTTCCCCTTGCTGCTCCTCCTGCTCCTCTCCCTCCTGCTCCCCCTCCTGCTCTCCCTCCTGCTGCTCCAACTGCTGCTCTTGCTGCTCCCCCCCTTCCTTCTCCCCCTCCTTCTCCCCTTCCTGCGCCTCCTGCTGCTGCTCGCTCTCACGTCCTCCCTCCTCTCCTTTCATCTCCTCTTCCTCCTCTCCCCCTCCCTTCCCTCCCACTCCACCCGCAACAACAGCAGGCTCCAAGTCGCCCTCAGCACCCACCTCTCTGCGCCTGGGGTCCAAGTCTAGCCGCCGCAGTGGCGCATGATCAGGCTCCCCCACACACACATCATCAGGCTCCCCCACACACACATCATCAGGCTCCCCCACACACACATCATCAGGCTCCCCCACACACGCATCATCAGGCTCCCCCACACACGCATCATCAGGCTCCCCCACACACGCATCAAACCCTCTTGCTGCCCCACGTGCAGACTCTGCAACGCCACCCACACCACCTGCCGTGCCACCTGCACCCTCTGCCTTCCTACGCACCAACTCCTCCCCTGGAGCAGCAGGGGGAGAAAGAGTGCGGTTTGCACTCACAGCTTCAGGGTGGGAGCTCGTGGCGGGTATGCCCGGATGAGGCAGTGCAATGTCCGCGTCTTCATCACGATGGGACTCTGAGCACGGTTCTGATGGCTGCTGAGGCTTTGGTTCACTTGCAGCAGCTGCTGCGGCATGGTCATTGGCTTCTTCCTCCTTGCCCCGCGCTTCTCCTCCACTCACCCCGTCTATCACATCCATGCCCTCCGCAGAAGCACCACTGGCTGTCTCCAACTCCCCCTGCCTGCCCACCCCTGCCTTCACATCACTATCAGTGAGTACGTCTACCTTGCTTGTATCAGCAGCGCTCATTGGTGCCAACCCCACCCCTTCCTCGCCCTTTGCCTCATCTTGCCCCTCTGCTTTCTCCCCGACCTCCAATGCCCTGTGCTCCTCCCCTTTCCTGTCATTCTTTCTAGCTGATTCATCCGCTTCGCCTTCCATTTTCAGTTTCCCCAGATTCTGTTCATCCCTCTCTTCCTCTTTCCCTCTCCCCATCCCCACACTGGCACCACTGTCACCCCCAGCACCACCAGCAACAGCAGCAACACCTGTGTTACTACCATCGGTAGCAGCAGCAGGAATGGAAGCCGCAGCAGCAACGGCAGCGGCGGCAGCAGCGGGCGAAGAGAGGGAGGCAAGGGGGAGGCGAGAAGAGAGGCCGATGGGGAGAGAGAGGGCAGCAGCGGGGATGGGTGGGCGGAGGAATGGGCCGAAGGGGAGCGGCAGGCGAGCGGCAAGGAAGGGCAGAGCAGGGGCAATGGGCGGGGGGAAAGGCGAAGGGAAAGGCGTAGTGGATGTGACTGTAAGGGGGCGTGGGAATGCAGGTGGTGGTGGCAGCAGGGGCACGGGGGATGGCTTGGGGGTGAGGGATGAGGGTTCTACTGGGGAAGGGAAGCCTGGGGGAAATTGCAGGTGGGGAGGAGTAGCGGAGTGGGCTTTAGTAGGAGGGGCTTGCAGGGGGGTGTTGAGAGGGGGTTGATCCCCCGCCAGGCGGGGTTGGGGGGAAGGTGGTTGCTGCGGGGGGAAAGCGGTGCGTTCAGGGGGAGAGGGCGGAGTGGGGGAGGGGAGGGCAGAGGCATCGAGAGGGTCGGTGCGAGGGAGGAAGAGGGATGGGGGGAATGTCTTGCGCAAAGGCGTGCATGTGTGTGGGGGGGCAGCGACAGCACCCTTAGCGGCGGCAGCAGAGGCAGCAGTGGCAGTGCGAGCGCGGGTGGGGGGGAGGGCGGTGGGCAGCGGGGAGTGCACTTGCCCCTCTGCGTGTGCTTGCTGCTGTGAGCGGGCATGTGCGAGCACAGAGGCAGCAGGCAGTGCAGTCTGAGGCAAGAGTGACGCGCGGACAGGTGGGGGGGGCGGAGGGACCATCGGGACAGCAGCAGCAGCAGTAGCAGCAGCAGAGGCGGAGGAAAGGTGGGTGCTGTGAGGGGGGTGGTGTGGCGCTGCTGCCAAGTGCGGGACCTTGACAGGTACTCCATGTGGTGATGGCACTGCCGGGCCACATGGGATGGCATGTGGTGTTGCAGCGGCTAGCTGGGGAAGATGGGGGGCTTGCACGGAGAGCAGAGGAGGGGTGGGGACGCGGGGGGGGATAGAGAGGGAAGCGGGCGCGGGTGCGGCAACGAGGGTGGGTGATGGTGGAGCAGGTAAAGGGGCAGCGGCGGGCAAAGGGGAGGGTGTTGCGGCAGCAGCAACAGAAGCATCGGCAGCAGGAGCAGGCAGAGGGGGAATGTGGGTTGTGTGCAATGGCAGCCAAGGGGGGTGTGTTGCGGCAGCGAGAGAGTGAGGGAGCAGACACGTGGTGAGAAGGGCCTGCAGGCAGACAGGGGAAGGACAAGGGGAGGTGGAGTGGGAGTTGAAAGGAGAGTCAGCCAGTGGGCAGTCCGACTGTTTTCCCAACCCAATTACCACCTTGGCAGTAAGGGCATTGGACTTAGCGCTTCTTTGGGTTGAAAAGGGTTGGCAGATTCGGTTGTTCCTTCTTATCTCTTTTATGTTAATGTTGAAATCGGGTTTTCTTGATCGGTATGTGCGAGAAATGCCATGTCACATACCACCCCATGTCACATAGCACACCAAATCACACACCACCCCATGTCACATAGCACACCATTTCACACACCACCCATACCACACCCCACCCCATGTCACATACCGCCCATGCCACATAACAACCCATGTCACATACCATTCACGCCATATCACCCATGTCACATACCACCCCATCCCCCACACCCCATGCCTTAGACCCACCCCATGTCACATACCACGCATGCCATATACCACCCACGTCACATATCACCCATGCCATATACCACCCACCTCACATATCACCCATGCCTCATACCACCCACGTCACATATCACCCATGCCTCAGACCGCCCATGTCACATCTCCCTCCACCCAAGGAGAGCATGAAAGGGTCTCTAACTCCATGCCATCTCTCATTCTCTCACTCCATGCCATCTCTCATTCTCTCACTCCATGCCATCTCTCATTCTCCTTCGAGTATTCGTTAAACTAATTTCCAGCGCTCTATGCGCTTTGTAGTCCGTTAGATGTTCATTGTGGTTGGGCGAGCAAGGGAGGCAAGAGTCCCCGCACACCGCATCTCAGCTGTAGTGCTGGCGGTAGGGCCGTCTCTTGAAACCTGCCATGCCGTGAGTGGCGTTGACGCCGCGATCCAAGCTGACACCATGATTGGTTGAGGCGATCTGAAAGATTCGGGGTGGATTCTCTCAGCAGGAAAAGCGGACGGTAGTGCACCGCACTGAACCGGAGTGCGTGCGGTGTCCGTTACGCACCTGTCTGTCGCCGTAGCTCCCAGTAGCTGCAACGAAACTAAACTGGTTCACCGCGCTGCGATGCTCCTGCGCGCCGCGATTATCCGCTGTGTGGGTGGGGAACGCGATGGCATCCGGGCGGAACACGGACGGCTCGTCCTCGTCCGTGCTCCACCCGTCGCCATAATCGGTACTCTGATTTTCTGTTTCCTTCTCAAACTGGATATATTGTTGATTCATGGCAGCCAATGAGTCCCCACGCAGCAATCTTCACAGACTGAGATTTGCCGACTTAGGAGTATGGTAACCTCAAGACCACCTTGAATAACGGATATCGCCCCAGATTCGTGCTCTGCAGGCAACGTGCACCAAGGTAGATTACGTAGATGAGGTGGTGGCTGAGACAGCAGGTATATTCCGTTGGCCACCAGAATTTATTCTATGCGGGTTGTTTCATCCAATTAGGTATTGTCGGAAAGGCCCGAAGATGGATAAAGCGTCAGCTCCCATGGAAGCGAGGCATGACCAAAATGAATCTGCGGTCTGAAATGAGGAGAAAGGGCAGCTGGGGAGAACTGGCTGGGAGAGAACGGATGCACATTGCGAATGGTGATTGTAAAGGAAGAGGAACTTGTTCAGCAATCCCGAGATGATTGGTATAGGGAAAATATGCCATTCGTAACCATCATGGGACTCGAAAACATTTTTGGTAAAAAAATAAAGGGTACGGTCACTGCAAAGGGTGTTTTCACGCGACTGATAAAGCGTTTCACGGAATCAGTCACAATCAACTGGCAAAAAAAACGCGAATGGTCACGGATGAAACTCTTGCCAAAACAAAATGAAACCCAAAAAGAACCTGGATGCATTTTCGGATGGTCAACCCTAAACACGTAACTTGTCAGGTGTTTAGGGTTGATCCGTTCCCAAACCGCATCCGATTCCGATTGGGTTTTAGTTTTTTAACAAGTTCGCAGATTGGTTGGACGCAAGCGGGAATTTTGTTCAGTTTCAAGTTTTTTTGGCGGGAGTTACATGTGTGACCATTTGCGTGATTTTTTACCTGTTGTTACTGACTGAATCCGTAACCCCGCTTACAAAACCCGTAATAAAACCCGATATAGTGACCGTACGCGTTTTTTTTTAACCATTCACGTTATCGAGTCCAAAGTTGGTTACTTGTGGCATATTTTCCCATGGGTATAATAGATAACGGTTGGGCTAATGCATGCGAACTGAGTTTGCCTGTACGAAGTGTAGGTCCGTAGGTCTATACAACCCTTTGCATTAGAATGGTTACGACACTCTGAAAGTAGACAACGATCGATGTACGGATTGGCTACCCTAATTACCTGCACGCAACCACACTGTAATTATATTCTGACAAAAAATGTTTTGTCCTACGTTCAAACGATATATTTTACATGGTCTAATCTAGTTAGCAAGTTTACACATTATGACATAATTTCATTTTTTCATAAGTTTTTTATTTGTCGCATGCACAGCGTATTCGATTCGAGGGCCTTTGGGAGGGGGGGAGGAGGGATGGGGGGTTTGGGGGGGGGGGGTGTTAGAAGTAGCGAGAAAGTGATGGTTTAGGTAAGGGAGGGGGGGGGGGGTACAAGATGTAAAAACATTTGTAGCTTTGTAGGCTGTGTAAGGGTTATCCCTAGGAGGTACAACCATTCTCTTCATACTCTTGTACCCCCCCTTTACCTAATCCATCATCCTTCTCAATAGGTTTCTAACATGGTTTCGGAGGCTAGGGAGTTTCTAGACCTTAGGACCTAAGTTCTTAAAGGGCCCACCGTTAAGTTTTTCTCTGCCCGAAGTGCTACTGTGCTGCCCAGACCTGCCAAAGAGCGTCACGCTGCCCTGCTGCCCGTTTGCAGTCGCGCGCTCCTTGTGCTGCCCCACGCGCTGCTTGCGTTGCTACATGTGCCCCGCACGCTCGCGGCCTTCGCGCGCCCCTCTCGCAGCCTTCGCGACCTTAGCGCGCCCCGCCTGCAGTGCGCACTGCGTGCTGCCCCGCGCGCCCCTACGCATTGCCCGCTGCTGCGCGCGCCACTGCCCTTACGTGAGTGCACACCCGGTCCCTGTGCGCTGCCGCTACTGCCGCGCACTCTGCTGTTGCTGCGCTGCTGCTGTGCGCAAGTGCCTGTGCTGCTGCTGCTACTGTGCTACTGCGCTGCTACTGCTAAGCGCTGCTGCTGCTGCAGAGCGCGGCTGCTGCTGCAAGTGTTCTTGCTGCTGCGCCTGAGCTGCTGCTGCCACACGCGCTGCTGCTGCTGCTGCTGCTACTGCTGCTGCTACCAGCTGCTGCTGCTACCTGCTGCTGCTGAGCCCGGCTACTGCTGCAACACGCGCTACTGCTACTACTGCTACTGCAAGTGTTCTTGCTGCTGCGCCTGAGCTGCTGCTGCCCTCACGCGATTGCCTTTGACATTTAGCTCGATGACCTCCAGCTATTCCCGCAGAGCGAGGCTAGGGCTGGCATTCCACTGTTCGCACATGCCAACGAATCCCTCCCAGCCCCACCTGACACAGAGGCAGCAGATCATTCGAAGTGGCTCATTCGTGACGCTAGCCCGCCTTGCAGTCCGCAACCACCTTCCTGTCGTTGAACGAGCGCATTTTTAGCCAGCAGAAAACAGCCAAGGCTCTCTATGACGCTGTAGTCGCTCGCTACTCTTCCCCAGCTACTACTGCCCTAGGCCGTCTCATGCTGCCATACCTGCATCCCGAGCTAGCCGACTTCCATACTGTCCCTGACCTCTTTACCCACCTCCGCTCTAGTGAGGCTCGCTACCGCGTCGCTCTCAAACTGACCTTTCTCACTGCGAACCCCCCCCCCCGCTGTATATAACACTGTACTTCCTCGTCACCCGTCTCCCCGACTCCCTTCGCACTGTCAGGGACCAGTTCCTAGCCCTTGACCCTCAGTGGTCCATACCCAGAGCTTGTAGGTTGCCTCATGTACCTGATGACGTGCACACGACCTGACCTCGCGTACCCTCTCAGCCTCCTGGCTCGCTACGTGGCACCTGGTAGACACCGAAAGGTGCAGTTTGATGCTGCGAAGAGGGTAATGCGTTACTTGTGCAGTACATTGCGCATGGGGCTCGTGCTTGGAGGACGGGGTTCAGTGGTACTCACAGGACACTCTGACACTTCTTGGGCCGACGACCAGGCGACTCAGCGTTCGTGACAGGGTTACACATTTACTCTTGGCTCTGGTTCTGTCTCGTGGAGGTCCAATCGTTCTTCTTCTGTGCTTAGTTCCAGCTGTGAGGCCGAGATCTACACCGGGGCCATGGCTGCACAGGAGCTACGCTGGCTGACCTACCTGCTGACCGACTTGGGGAAGCGGCCCCGTTCTCCTCCAGTTCTGTACGTTGACAACAAGGCAATGCTTGCCTTCTGTCGCGAGCAGAGACTGGAGCACACAACGAAGCACATTGCTCTTCGTTACTTTCTTGCTCGGGAGCTGCAGCAGCGTGGTCAGCTGCGCCTTGCTTACGTGGCCTTTTGGGCCAACACTACTGATGTCTTCACCAAGGCCCTTGGGTCTAGTGATCATCAGCGTTTCTGCACTGCTCTTGGGCTTGTGCCCACTCTGCCTCACTTGCTGGTTGCTTGACTTGCACTTGTTGTACACTGATGTTTATCTTTATACATGCTTGCTTTCTCTTGCTAGGCTGTAATCTCTGTACTGCCTTGCTATTATAGCTCTGCATGTGAACTGGCCTTGTGGCCGCTTGCTTGTGCTCGGACTGTGTGGTGTCCTTGATATCCACCCTGGGGTTTGCCTAGCTTGTTCTCTTGCTTGACTGGTCTTGTGACCACTGTTAGGTTTGGCTATCCCCTCCTTCACCTATGGGGGTGTGTCAAACATTTATATGTGTTTCTAGCTTTGTAGGCTGTGTAGGGGTTATCCCTAGAGGGTACAACCATTCTCTCGATACTCTTGTACCCCCCCCTTACCTAATCCATCATCCTTCTCAATAGGTTTCTAACACAAGAGTGTCAAGAAATGTGTTGTACCCTTTAAGGATAACCCCTACACAACCTAGATAGAATGCATTGTTGAAATAGGCTCAATAGTGCCTAGGGTTTGGGTGCTAGGCAACTATCAAGAGTAGAAAGGAAGAAGGGGTTTCACTCTAGAAAGTTGGAGACATATATGCAAGGAAAAGAGACGTGCACCACCAAACAAGTTTAAAACTACATTAAGTCTACACTACAGGCGGTTATAATATAATGCATGTAATTATATTCCGACGCACCCCCTAACTGCCTGCAATGAAGAACCATGTGCAGAACACCCTCTGAAGGGGTACACCAGGTGCAGCGGAAGAAGGAGAGGGCAAGTGAGGAGGAGGAGGGACCATGAGCGGAGAGGAGGTGGTGGGCGGCGGCTGAAGCTGCTGGCACAATGGCAATTGGAGCAACTGGCACACGGGCAACTGGAGTAACTGGCTCTGCGGCTAGACGAGCGGCTGGAGCAACTGACCCACGGGCAACTGGAGCAACGGGCTCACGGGCGACTGGAGCAACGGGCTCACGGGCGACTGGAGCTGCTGGCTTCACGGCGGCCACCCCACTTCAACCTCCCCCCCACAGCAGCAGAAGTTGCAAAGAGAGATAGGGCAGTCAGGGCAGGCAAAAGGCAGGGGTGGCTCAGGGCATGGGTGGCTGGAAATGGAGAGGAGAGAGGGGGGGGGAGGAGGCGTGTGGTGCTGACCTCCAAGCTCATCCCCCTTAACCTCCAAGCTCATCCCCCCCTTCCCAACACAACAACAGGCGGCAGGGAGAGAGAGGAGGAGGAGGTGGGTGGCTGGCGTTAACCCCTCCTGCCACCCCCTCACCCTCCACTATCCGCCACCCCCATCACCCTACCCCCCATAGGCGCTGGTGCTGGCAGAGGCACGGGCAGGGCGCGGGCTCCACTCCCCTACCACCTTCCCCCCACCCGCCATCTCCTCGCACTGCAGAAGCAGGCGCGGGCAGGAAAGGCGATGGGGGGAAGAAAACGGGACGGCGGGGAGGGAAAGGGCCGCGACGACCGCCATGAGCGTTGTCCCCCTGACAAATCCTCTCCTCCCTCCCCCCCTTTGGTGCACCAGCAGCAGTGAGAAGGGGGGTAAATGGGGAGGGTCGGCGTAGTAGGCGGCTGCAGTTGTGCGTGTGCTTGCAGCTGCACGTGACGCTGCAGCCGTGCGTGCGGCTGCAGCTGTGCA